ATACTCTCCGCTGATGAATGTGTGCCCTTTGCACCAGACAAGCTCACGGGGGTCTTGTGGAAAGATGCACACTGCCACAGTCAATCTTCTTGAAAGGTGGTTTCTAAACCTGGTTTATATTCAGAATCATTTGAAAATCTTGGTAAAATGCAGAACCTCATATTTTTACATCCTAGAGACTCTGTGCCAGTAAGTCTAGGGAAAAACCTAATACTTTATCTGTTTTCAGCTCCAGGTGATTCTGAATATTGATTCAGCTTGGGCATCACTGGACTAGACTGTGTCTCCATCTCTAACGTCCATTCTCGCCTTAACCTACTATCCAACGACCACTCCACTCTACCAAAACTGCTTTTCATAAGTGATCGCCTTGCTGCTCAGACCACATTTCCTTATTAGTTCAACAAATGTTCATTGAGAAATGACTATGGATCAGGAATTATGTTATGCACTTTAGATACAACAGTAAGCAAAAGGAGGTTTCTGTTTTTGTTTTTACATAGTATTTGACACAGAGTGTCTATACTTCTTTTTGAAAATTTCTCTTTCTCTTGCTTCCACAATACCTTTCTCTCCTTTGTCAGATTGTTCACATTTGAACTCTTTGTTGGCCTCTGATAAATGAAACTATGATAAGAAAAAAAAAGAAACTATGGATAATGTAACTAGTAGGTTTATAGAAATGTGTAATTGGAGATTTTGAGATATTGAGATGACTTTATATAAGCTAAAATGATCTAATTTTCATTATATATTTTGTAATATGATTATATTCCATTATCCCTTTACATTAAATTTAGACTATACACAGATATGATAAGGCAAGATTCAAAACAGAAATTAATGAAGCATACTATTTATTAATATTTAATACAGAAATGGTAATTATGTTTTCTTTAATCCCTTTTGATTGATTATTTTCTAGTTTTCCATTAGGGATACCTTTCTGAGACTATCTGAATGAAAAAAACACATAACTTTTCATACATATCTGTTATGCTTCTAAATTTAATGATATAGTTTGCATACTGAGGGACTGTTTCATTCCTACATTTTTAAAAAATATTTGAAGGAAAGATGATTAAACATGTCCATACTAATTTGCACTGTATTGCTTGACTTTTTATCCTTTCAAAGATGCACATGAAACATTAATGTAAAACTTATTCTCTGGCAATTATGTGATGTTTAAGTACTATTAATGACACTTAAGTAATCTATTGTTGTAAACTGTGATTTCTAGCTTTATAGAATTGTCAGTACTCCCCTTTCCATTACATGTATGTCATTTAAGGAAAGATCCAAAGTCTATTTCCCTTCCTTACAGGACATGACCAGGAATCGTCCCTGTTGGGGAAAGGCCTTCTGTACCCATGTCTAACATTCCTACTAGGTTTCTTGCTTCTCCTAAAACAAGAATTCTAGATCTGTTGCTAGCTCTACTATGGCAATCTTGTCAGAATGAAAGAGTTATAACTTTCATTCCTCTTCGCAGTTTCCCTAACATGCTTTATGTTTATGTGGTCAGATATGGGGTGGGAATAAGGGGAGGGGAGTGACATTTGTTTTCCTCCCCCCCCTTTTTTGAAGAATTTATTTATTTATTTGAGAGAGAGAGAGAGAGACAGCATGAGTCAGGGGTAGAGGCAGAGGGAAAGGGAGAAGCAGACTCCCTGCTGAGCAGGGAGCCTGATACTGGGCTTGTTCCCAGGACCCTGAGATCATGACCTGACCCCAGGACCCTGAGATCATGACCTGAGCCAAAGGCAGATGCTTAACTGACTGAGCCACCCAGGAGCCCCTGCTTTCCTTCTTTTTAAATCCACAAAAGAAAGTTCAGAATATTCTTTGAGTTTTCTGAAATCTAACAAGGAAATCTAGTTAATTGATCAATTTTTAGTAATTATCACCCCCAAAATTTCTCTGGTCATTTCTCATCTCCTCCATGTACAAAAGAATTTACCATCAGCTTTCTGTACTTTGATCTTAAATATGAGTTGGCAGGTAGTAGATATCTAACTTTTGAGGAGAAATTCTAGCATAAAGAAACCAAACAAATAAAACTCTTTGAATGTATTAGTTTGTTTTTTGTTTGTTTAATATCTGCTTTAATTATATTTCCATGAATTCCAAGAATAACAGCTTGCAATTAATGTTAAAAAAAGAAAGCAAAGAGTGACATCTGAACATGTAAAAAGAAAAAATGGATTCACAGTGAAAATAACGTATATTGGTACTAAAATATAGTTACTGGACTCTGAAGGGAACAGTTTTCTTCTAATAGTTATTCAATACTTGGATTTTATTATGAGAAAAAAAATTTTTTTGCTTGAAACTTTGGAGAAGCTGTGCTACTATTATTGTTAGCCATTATTGAAACTATACTAGAAAGAGAAGTAAAATTTTCTGAATTAGTTCCATAGATATGTAATAAGAACATATATTCATAAGAATAGGATGCTGTGCAAAAGAGTGACTTGAAAACTAGAAAGAACTTCTAGAAATTAAAAATATGATAGCAGAAATTTAAAAAATCAGAAGAAATAATGGAAGCTAAAGCTAATAAAGTATCTTAGAAAGTAAAACCAAAAAGTATCTTAGAAAGTAAAACCAAAAAGAAGGTGGAGATGAGCTTGATAAAGTAAAAGACTAAGAAAGAGGAATTGAGATACAAGCACTGGGACTCCAATTATTCAACAAGGTGGTGGAAGAACATTTTAAATTTAATTTAATTTAATTTAATTTAATTTAAACGTTTTTAAATTTAATTTAAACATTTAAATTTAAACATTTTTAAAAAAGTAACAGGAACATGGAAAATGATGCAAACAAAACAATGATCAAGTAGCAACTCTAGATAAATCAGTGACATGTTTAAGAAAGAGAGCATAACATATTACTTAATCCTGCAGTGAGAGATATTTGTTTAGTCATAATAACAGTATAGGGACTATTATATAAACATTGAATATAGCATACTAAATCAGGAAGTTGGTAATGGGAAGAATAAAGGTGGTATAAGAGAGAAAATCTTCACCTTTCATAACAGGATGTCGAGAGCAAATGTCGATAATATTTATTTCAAGAGACAGTAGCAGGAGGACATTTCTTAGACATATGGAGGTAATGATGTGAAATTGGTTCAACCCAGGAGCAGGACCTGAAATGAAATCAGGGGCTTCTATTGTTCTTTATAGGCTCGTAGTGCTCTCTGATTAAAACAAAAACAAAAACAAAACAAAACTTCTTTGAATGTATTAATCTAATAAGAAATTTAAAAGAAACAGAAAAAACAGTTCATTCTAGTTACTGATTGTGATGCTTCTTTCAGTTTCTTTTCTTTTTTTTTTTAAAGATTTTATTTATTTGAGAGAGAGAGAATGAGAGAGAGAGAGAGAGCATGAGAGGGGGGAGGGTCAGAGGGAGCAGACTCCCCGCCGAGCAGGGAGCCCGATGTGGGACTCGATCCCGGGACTCCAGGATCATGACCTGAGCCGAAGGCAGTTGCTTAACCAACTGAGCCACCCAGGCGCCCTCTTCTTTCAGTTTCTTAAGAACATGCAATTAAGAAGAATGGGGAAGGAGCACATGTGTACTGTGTTCTGCCATGTGCAAAGTCTGGGTAAAATAAATGCATTACGCATGCTTCTTTATTTAATTTGGTGTCAAGGTCCTTTGCTGTTGTTCTACTTTAAAATTTATATGTTTCTTGTTATACATAGGAAGACTCTCTAAATAAAAGTATGGACTTTTTCTTACTGAGGTCTTGGGAAGGACACTTAATGCAAATCAGGAAGGAGAAAGAGAGGCTCCCCTCAGGCTGGGAGCTGTTCCTCTCCTGTGGGCAACGGGAAACAGCTTTTACAGAACCTCAGAATGTCTTACCTGCTTGTTATGGTGCTTGAAATATTCTGAATTTTTTAGAACACCAGACTAAACCAAATGTAAATAAGGAGAAGGTACAGAGTCATGGTATGGTTAATATCTGCTAATTGGCAGGCACAGTAATAGGTGCTCTCTCCATTTTTTTTATAATCAAAAAACTTTGAGAGAAATGTTTTTATCCTCACCTTACAGATGAAGAAGACCTTAAGTGATTTTCCAAAGGATATTAGAGATGAGACAATGGCTCAGATTTGTTTGACTAAAATCACTTTTTACTGTCTCGTGTTAACCTCTAGGTATACTGTAAGCTGAAATACTTTCAGAAAAATATAAAAACTTGATGTTCACATATAATTTTGGTTTGTTTGCATTATTATTACCCTAAAGTGTGTGATTGAGTTAGCTGTTTGGATTGTTTAAGCCCTGTGTCCTGGAGTGTGGTTCCTTTTACCATTATGATGGTTTTATATAGGAAGAGAGGATTTCATGAGGTCTCAACATGAAATAAATTTGAGCTGCAAAGACAGAATGTCATTTCATCTTCAGTACTTTCAGTTCTTTGATTGAATTACCTCAGAAATCCCAGTCTCGACTAGTCTGTAAGATTTACTAATGTCCTCAGGAAACAAGTAGGAGACTCAGGCTCAAAAGCTGAAGAAGGGTATCAAGATAGAACTTAGTAACATTATTTTGTAGGCATTTTATATTTTAGGGTTATTGTATATTAGAGCAATTTCAGTATCGAGAGCCTTTTTTCAAAATGTAATGATTTAAATAAAAATATTCAATAAATGATACTTTGTAGTACTACTGATTTAGAATAAGCCTTGTGAAAGCAAATTAATGCAATTTGGGGAATGACAGTTTAAAATCTTTCCCTTTCACTTCCTGTCTGCTGTGCAAATAAGCAGCGGAATGACTTGTAGACAGACAGACATCGGAGATATGAAATATTCCATACACTACAAAACAGCTAGGGAAAAAAAAAAAAAACAGCTAGGGAATAATGGAGTATTAGCAAGTAGGATCTTCTTCCCCCCTTCCTTCCTCTCTCTTTCTCCCTCTCTTTACGTTTTCCTTCTAAGAGAGTAATGTGAGGCGTGTTGTCTTCCCAGGTACAGAGCCATTGTCAACCCCATGGACATCCAAACGTCCGGCGTGGTGCTGTGGACCTGTGTGAAGGTGGTGGGGATCTGGGTGATCTCCGTGCTGCTGGCGGTTCCGGAGGCAGTGTTTTCGGAAGTGACAAGCATTGATAGCTTGGAAAACGGCAACTTCACAGCGTGCGTACCCTACCCTCAGACGGACGAATTACACCCAAAGATTCATTCGGTGCTCATCTTCTTGGTCTATTTCCTCATACCACTTGCTATTATTAGCGTTTATTATTATCATATTGCAAAGACCTTAATTAAAAGTGCACATAATCTTCCCGGAGAATACAACGAACATACTAAAAAACGGGTAAGCTTGGTAGGGGTGTGTGTGTGTGTGTGTGTGTGTGTGTTCGGGGTGTGTGGGTCAGATGCAGTAACTGCTATTTTCTGTTCTATTTCGTGGGTTCTCAATACCGTGAAAGATTAAACAGGTCACAGGGCACCGAGATTTGCATTAGCCTGAACTAGAAGGGATGTTGTGCCGGGAGGAGGAGGGGAGGCATCTCCAATATGTGGCCATGTTATAGCTCTGTAGAGGTCCACTGAAGTCCAGCTTCTCTGCCATCTGGGCCGGAGCTATTAAAATTTAATGTCTTTGAAGGCTTTTCCTTACCTTCAAATGTTCGTGCAAAAAATGACATAATAAACCAGAAAATTACCACATTTCAAGTATAAATTTATTTAATTATTGTCTCTTCTCCCATTAGCCCATTAAGGATGACAGAAAGTCTTGGACAAGGATTCATCAGGAAAGGACTGTAGGACATGGTCTGGGAACTGGGGATGCCATTTGGGTAGGATGCCAGAATGGGGCTCTGGGAACAGAGGGCAGAGAACAAGGGGGAGAGTGATTAAGAGGTCATACTTTCTTTAACTCAAATTTATAGCTTGTCCTATAAAAATCATATACTAATTTAAAATTACAAATGCACCTTACATAGTCTTTCTTAAGGAATATACAGAGATACTGACTTAAGGTAAAACAAATTGTGTTAATCCACAAATAGATGGAAATATTGTCTAGTGGGACAGAGTTTCAAGTTGTGCTTTTGTGGACTCTTCGGGAGGAACTTCTTCCAAAGGACTCTGTAGGTACAAGGAGTTTTGGTTGGCTCTTCACCAATTCAAAGGCAAGTTGAATGACAGAGCATTAAAATTTGCTGGGTTGTAGATGGAGGCACAGGCTGGGGTGTTGCACACTTCAACAACAACAGAATTTCGAAAGAGTTCTTGCATGGAAGGTAACCTCTACTTATTAATGACCGTCAACATCAGAGATCCACATCTTTAAGAGCTAAAAAATCAATCAGTCACTAAAGTAATTGTAGATAAGTTAATAGATTTATTATCTAAATATCTAGCATCACTGAAGCAAAAAAATTCAGGTCATGGGCTCAATGCACTTTTTCCTTTGCCTTGTGATCCAGTTTGTATCTCAATTTGGGTATTTGAGTTTTTGCTTTGGTTTCTAAAATTGAGTTCCTCTTACCCTCCCACCTCCACTTTTATTTTTTAAAGTGGCCTTAGTTCTGCCTTGTTTTTGTGAATTTCTCTATTGGGACTTGTAAACTCTGGCTGGGTAACTAGGCTTGATATCAGCAAGAAGTACTCTCGATGCCAACAGCCTGCCTGTGCATTTGAGTCTCCAAGTATAGGTAGCCCTAAAATCCTTGCACCCATGTTCTACCTGCAGGGTGGACACTGCTTCATAATAAATTTCACATTGAGCCCCTTAATATCGCCAGGTTGCTTAACTCATGCCACCAGGATACATCTGGGGTACCACATTTTGCTTTCCTCCTCTTACTGCACCTTTATTTGCTTCCCCCATCACCACTCACTACACTTTTCTTTGGAATATTCTAATTCACTATCAATAGTTTTAGCTCAGAAAATATCGTTTTGCCTACACTCAATATCCTTTGATAAATTAAGTTTTCACATTCATGTTGCCTTATTTAAATATTTAAGCAAGTAAAACATAGTAATACTTACAAGAATAATAGTTACATCAGAAGGTTGTGATTTATGTGAGTCAGAAGTTTAAATCTCAAGGTTTTTTTTTGTATGTGTGTATGTGTGTGTGGAGTAAGGATTTAAAAAGTCATGCTCTATTTCAATTACCCTGATTAAAAAAATCTAATCTTAAGTATATTGTGTGGTTCATTAATTCAGTGGATTTAATACAAACAAATGATTTATATTTGAAGTGTACACAGTAAGACTGTAAGCAACAGGAAAGTAGTTAAAAATAAGACAGAATTTTTATAGGTCACAGTTTTAAATGAAGACATAGCCATTTATTAATAATTTCTCATCTAGTCTTGTAGAGGCTGTCAAATATTTTTAGATGAAAGGGTATAATGACCAAAACAGGCTTTGTTAAACTGTTGAAATTATCACTTTGTTGAGGAAAATATTTTTTGTATTTTTGGATGCATTTGCATGCCATGGTAAGTTTTTACTCTTTTTGCACCATGATGTTTTGCATGTGGATGGTTCCATTTTCATTTTAACCAATGGGATTGTTTCCTTGTATTTGCAGATGGAGACACGGAAGCGCCTGGCTAAAATTGTGCTCTTCTTTGTGGGCTGCTTTGTCTTCTGTTGGTTTCCAAATCACATTCTCTACATGTATAGGTCTTTCAATTATAATGAGATTGACCCATCTCTAGGCCACATGATCGTCACCTTAGTTGCCCGTGTTCTGAGCTTTTGCAATTCTTGTGTCAATCCATTTGCTCTTTATCTACTCAGTGAAAGCTTCAGGAGACATTTCAATAGCCAGTTCTGCTGTGGGAGGAAGTCCTATCAAGAGAGATCAACCAGCTACCTTCCCAGCTCTTCTGCAGTGCGTATGACATCTCTGAAAAGCAATGCTAAGAACATGATGACCAATTCAGTTTTACTAAATGGGCACAGCATGAAGCAGGAAGTGGCATTGTGATTTGAGCCATTCAGCTCACTGCCTGGAAAGAACTTACCTTTCTATCTCTATTGAGCAGAGCAGAAAGAAACAATTTCCTCATTCTTACTATTGCTCAGCTAATTCATGAGGTGATTTCATGATTGACTCAGAAAAGGCAAGACAAACACAGCTAGCATTCTTCTCTGAACAGGACTTTAAATTACACTGAAAAATATATATCGCACGTTAAAAGTCATCCAAGATGCACTTCTACATGTGTATAAATTAATCTTGCTTCAGGATTTAAGCTGTTGTTAGAGCCAACTCTAGTGTATTTATCTTAAATTTGTTTCATCTTGAAGCATGAAATGAATTCCTATATTGACTTGATGATTCAGTGAGGGTAATATTCAAACTCCTATTATTTGAAATACAAGTCATATTTTCCTGGTGAATTTTATTCATAACCAGAGCATGTATTTATCTCCTTTGTTTAAATAAAATAGAAAATTCAAAAGGTAGAGCTTAATCACAAGTCCATAATATTTATTTATTGTGATTCTTTGTGTGATTAATCATAATTTATAGAGATAGCTTATGTCTGTAACTTTTAGGTGTATGATTAAAAGGTATGATGACATTTGATTATGAATAGTAAAATAGATATCATATGAATATGATTGATTTTACATTAGTTATCATATGTCCCCAAACTATGACTTAGAAAATGGCATGGCCATTTTTGTATACATTGCTAGGTCCCTGAATATTTAGATGTTTCCGTATAGATACGATAATTAGTATAATTCTGGTGAAATCAATCATTTACTCATCCTCTCTTGCAACAGCCATCTGACCTCATTTAAGCAAGTTTACTCTGTGTAGTACCACAGTTTTTTCTGAATAAGTATTTTAGATATTTCACCAAAATGCAAACATGGCCTTGATTAAATTCTAAAAGCTACCCCTTCTTAAATTTGTATCAGTAAGTCTAACATTTGAATTAATATATTTCATACTATTTCTCTTTCCAAATTTGCTAAATGGAAAATTCTATTAATATACTAAGCTCTTTCTTAAACACCCTTAAGCCATACTCTTTAAGATATGAAATATTCAATCGTATGTAGCAATGGGAAAAATAAACACAAGCAAACTGCTTATGGTGGTTGATAATAATAATGGTAGTGAACATTAATCAAGTGTTTTCCCTGTTCTAGGCATAATCCTAAAGCTTTATCCTTTTTATTTATCTAATTTAATGCTCAGTATAAACCCTACCATGAAAAAGAGAAAGATCAGTTTTTGGTAGGGCATGAAGTTACACAATTTGAGGAATATCTCTATTAAAAATACACAATTTTGCAAATTTTACACAATTATACCCAATCACATAAATACATTGCCAGGGCACTGAACTTAGGCTTTATTCACTTCATGGTAAGTTCATCTCTGAAATATATCCTCTCATTATCTTTATTTTATAGATTAGAAAATTGAGATCAGAAATATTAAGAAAGTTAAAGAGGATTTACACAGCCTTGTGGGAAAGGTGAGATCTAAGACCAGATGCTTCACCATGGTGCATGCTCCCACTCTTCCATCACAACTCAGTTGTAACTCTCTTCTATCTGGATTAGTTGTCCTTAACCTTTGCAAAAGTTGTTGATCTATCTACTCATCACAAAGATGCAAAATATCACACACAGATTTTACATGGATTCTGAGTGTCTTTAAATCTTTTAAGGCTCATCCATTAAAATCTGAAGAACCAAGGGTAATCCTTGGTCCATGCAGAATCTTTGTCTTTGTTAGTATTAAGGTGATGGTGAAAGTAAATACAAGGATATTGCAAGCTATATGCAAATATATCTTGCAAGATCCTATTAATTTCTCATACACACACACACACATATATTATGAGATACATGCTATATATGTATGAAACTATATATATATATATATATATATGAGGCCAAAGGGATATACATTCATCTTAATTATAAAGTCCTGAGAATTTAAAGTTTACGGGAATAATGTTTTTATATAATCTGTTATCTGATTTGTTTTTCAGGAATGAAAAACATTTTTTCAGGAGATATTTTAGAAAATTTTTTTAATTTATACTTATTTTGTTAAAAATGTTTTTCTGTAATGACACTAATGGAATAAAAATAGCACCAAACTTCAGTTACCCTCTTTTAAAAAAAGAATTTTAACAATAGCCACATATCTGATTATATAATATTATCAATATATCAAACTTTGGTCTGCATTTTATTTTATTTATTAAGTTTTTATTTTATTGGCTACATTTGAAAATTTTCTTTTTGGTTGCTATCAATACTGAAAGTCAGACTTTCTCTTAATGTTGAGCCCTGAAGTTTGGAGACTCTGTCAATACTTTGAACTCTGTTCATAAATTAAGCAGGTTGAAGATTATCTGTGCAAACTTAGTTTTGAATCTGGCTGTTGCGCTCCACTGCTGGGTTATAATCCTAATTCACTCACTAACTATAATGATTTCTCATTTTCAAGAAGTCCTGTGAATTGCACCATTTTCTCAAATATTTTCTTTGGAAGAGACACCTGAGAATTAATATATTAGCATATGTTCTATATACAGCATGATGAGGGCAAATATTTAATATTTACTTTTTTCATATACTTTTCAAGTCAAACAAAACTTCATGCCTAATACACACATACATACTCTCACACACATATGAGATTGAATTCATATTAGAATAGAACTCAAGGTTTGGCATTGGTTGGATTTTATATGTTTATACATGCTTCACATATTTATTTTTGAGCTTTTTATATTTATTGCTGGGCATTTGAAGAGTGTTTTTAATACCAGAGAGTGAAATTAAAAGAAGTATACCCTAAGTTTATCTATGAAGTCAAACTGCAGAAGAAAATCAAACTAATTAAGCATATTAGTCAGAAGTAGACCAAAATGAAAAACCAAATTTGTTAAAATAAACAGAGTGAAACAGACCTTAGAAAAGGTAGTAAGTTTACTGATTTATATAAGTCTGCCTAGTAGTATCTTATTTCAAGGTAATATTAGGAAAAAATATGTCTAGTGTGGTAATATCTGCTATAATGGAGGCAAATTCCACTCAATTATGATTTTTCATGTAGATAAATGTCCTTTTATGTTAATCTCTTCTTTAAACCAGGTGTATTTCAAAAGAACTACAGCATGATAGGATCTTTGCAATGCTTGGGACCAGAGAATGCTCTTTTTTAATTGTCTTGTCTGTGAAATGGGTTCACAATATTGTAGGGGTTAAATTGGGTAATGCATGTAAAGTACTCACATGATTCCTGGCGTAATAATAAGCGTTCAAAAGAGTAGCTTCTATTATTATATTTTAAAAGTTATCTTTTTTCATGTAGTAAAGTAACAAAATTTACTAAAAATTTACTATGTGCCAGATCCTGTATTTTACAGGAATACCTCAAAAGGCAGGCATTATTCTGATTCCCATTCTATGGGTGTGGACACTGGGGGTTAATATGCTGATAGGCAAATAGAAGAGCTTGTCGAACTCTTATCTATCTGACTTCAAATTCATATATTCTATCTCTGGTCAGTACTGCCAAGAATCTGAAATTCAGTTAATTTATTGAAAGACAGAATGGAAGATAAAAATAAGTATGAGAACATTTTCTTCCGTGTAATGTGGAAGTTATCTGATGATGGAGGACAAAAACAAATGGGTCTTTGAGTCTATGTTTATCCATTCTAGAGTAAGAATAATAGCTTAAATTCTGCGTCACCCATATGAATACTTTTTTTTTTTTTTTTTTTTTTTAAAGAGAGAGAGCTCGGGGAGGAGGGACAGAGGGAGAGAGAGAGAAAATCTTAAGCAGGTTCCACACCTAGCGCTAAGCCAGATTCACAACGCTGAGACCATGACCTGAGCCGAAATCAAGAGTCAGGTGCTTAACTGATTAAGCCACCAGGTGCCCCCATATGAATATTTTTATAAAAATAATTTCATATATAAAAATACGGGTCCATAATTTCTTCCCCCAATTTCTTTCTCTATTTTGTGCATGATATATAAAAAAAAGGAGAAATAATAAAAATTAATGGAACTTTTTTTGATACCAAAACACATATTTTATTTGACTATTTGCTTGTTAGAACGTCTTAAATATTTATATGATTGTATAGAGCTGTAAAACAGTTAATGGATTTTAAACAAGTATAATTTTTCCATTTACTAATATTTTACTACTGGCTTCATTGCACACACAGGAAATATTTCCACTGAATTTCTGAGAAATGAAATGTTTCAACCATTAAGCTTCTCTTGGATAGAATAAGCATGTGTATTTCAACTTTAAATAAATTAATATTTGTGCACGTTTTCCTTAGACTTTTTCAAGTCAAGGGGCGAGGTGTAAGTAAATATGGTCAGCTTTAGTGCAGAAAACTATTTCTTTGGTAAAGTGATAAAAGAGTAACAAGAGTGCTAAAGAAAGTCTGATTGTAAGTGGATCTTTAATGGTTATTGGAGGAAACGTCACTTACATGCTGTGGTTACAGCATTTTACACCATTTCATTTTCTAAAGTATTTTACCAAGCTCTTCCAAGAGCTCCATTTTTTCCATATATTGTATCTTACCAAAATTTCAAACAGGAAATTTTCTTATATACAGAGCCAAGTCTTAATCTGTGGTGGGTAATTTGTGTTTGAAGTAGTGTACAATAAAATTTAACCAAGATTTTATTTCTGGGAACTAATTCTCCTCTTGGCCAACAAACAGATAATACTTACCCTTATTCCTCAGAGTAGAAGAATAATATAAATTGAACCCAATTAGGGACCTAAAAATATTTTACGAAATATTTAATGGTACTTAGAACCATTTGAAATAGGAAACCTGTAATCACTCGAGGTATTTTGGCAATTGTACATAATCAAAAATGAAAATCAAGTACTAGAATGTTCAAACTGTTGTTTTCATATGCTGCAAAAATTTAATTGGGAGCCTGAAGGTGCTTACAGCTTTTAATTTTCTGCTGAATGTTAGAAATGTATCTATTTACTTTGTGTACTATTTTGCTGACTTCTTCAAACCAAAAAGTGTAAGTCCTCACCAATATGACCCAACTTTTATCATTTTGCACATTTATTAATGTGCCTGTATAAAAGAGAGTATGTAAACATGGTCCTATGAGAATGCAGAAGGAGGAGGAAAAAACCCTACATATCATTTTAAGATAACCCTATTGTCTCCATTA